TTGGTGGAGCGCTGGTTGGAGCAGCGCTATGCTGGGGCAGCGCTGCTGTGGAGGAAGGAGAAGCACATGAGGGAGGAAGAAGGAAGGAAGGGGGAGGAGCGCCAGGGGTACTTACCTGGCTGTGGTGGCAGCCATCTTCATCACCTTGGTGGGCGCTGCAGCAGGGAGTCCCCAACTGGGGAGAGCCACACCAAGAAGCTTCAAGGCAGGGTTGGGCATGGCGGCCTGAGCTAGAGCAGCCATAGCTGCTTTGGGATGTCCTTTGGGCATCTGGGCAAGGCCTAGTAATCCGCCATAGCCTCGGCCTATGAGAGTGAAGAGTGGGGAGGTGGCCATGGCTATGGTGGACCTCAAGTGATACCTGCAGTAGAAGAGGGACTCAGACATTGATTCTGGATCAGCCATTCAACATTGTGTTATTATTTYTTGTATGAATAAGAGAAGGGGGAGATAAGGAGGAGGAGATTGTTGGGCGAAGAAGAAGAGCCTTGTCATTTGTTTATGCTGGTGTACATCATCTTCATCTTCTTTCTTACTTCTTCTTCTTCTTCTAATCCTCTCTCTCCTCTCAAGTTCATTCATTTCTTTCTGCAATTGGACAGCATTGTACTATCTGATGGATGTGTATCTCGAAATTGGCCAGGATCATAACATTGGTATCGGAGCGGATTCTACTTGCTGGTGAGAGTTGACTTTGCTACCCTAACCTTAACCTAAGTGGTTGAGGGCAACACTTAAGGTTAGGTTGGTTGGTTAAGGGAAGTGGGGCAGCGTGGTTGAGGGAAGCTGCCCCCACCTGGTTAGGTCATGTGGGGTCGACATAGAACCTAACCAGGTTGCTTGAGAGTGAGATTAGGGTGGCGAGACATTTCGAGGAGGCTTCATGCGGCAATTTGAGAGAGGCAACAGTGAGAGGCACTCGCACCCTGGAATCTGATTCAAGGGAGACACTTGGCAACTTAAGGGCTGCCCTCAAGTAGGCGAGCTTGAGGGTCAGCGGGCACTCAGCATCTACGGACTGCAAGTTGCTACTTTGTTCTTGAGCATCGACGGGGGATCCGGCGTTGCACTTGGGTGTTGGAGTCAGACCCTCCTAGGAGATATGACACTAGTGTAGGGGTAGCGTTAGAGGGGTCAAGAGCATCACAGGAGAGGGGGGTGAGTTCTGTTCATCTCGAAGCTCAAGGCCACTCAGGTAAGTGCCTTGCACCTACGGAATGCCCATAAATGTGTGTATGGTATTGATTGTCTTGCTGGGGTACTCTGGGTTTCTTCTCCTACTCCTCTGTGGTCTTGATTGTGTTACTGAATGCATGTGATCTACCTACTCACCTGATGGATGGAAAATGAAGTATCTTGACCTAAATGCCGAGTCTTTCTACAGTGTTTTGTCTTTTCATCTTTGAACGGTTGTAGTCTGTAGGTTCTGTCGGAAGTTGAAATTTCGTTTTTCAGTGCAGTAGAGACTGAACTAAGTCCATGTGGAACTCCTCTTGGTTGGGACCTGGTTGCGACCTCTGTGGGACCTCTGGGACCCAGCGGGACCGGGCCCAAACAAGAAGAGCCTCTGGACCCAAATCTGTTAGGCATTGGCCCCTTGTCTTCTTGGTTGGGATACGGAGTTCATTCTTCTTGGATTAGGACACCCACTGCCGAGGGGATTTTGGCTGAGACGTTTCGCATGTCTTTTGGTTGCACTGTCCGTGGCTTGACTCGCACCCTGTACACCACTCAATTCTCCATTGTTGGATTTAGTCACTTGTTGTCTGATTTGCTGTACGGTCACGGAGATGGTCAGACTGGACTTGAGAGGACCTCGTATGCAGTCTGATCAGACTGGGTCGCTGGATCAGACCTCTCATTTGAACTTGTTTGTTTTTCTTTGGTTTGCTGCTCTCTACGTCCAAATGAACGGTCGCTCCGGCTAGGAGTTCTACCTATTCTTCTCTGAGCTTTCAAGTCTATTTTTCTGAGTTCATTTCCGATGCCCGTGGAGACCCGCCGCCAGAGAGAAGAGAGAGAGAGGAGGGAGCAAGAGAAGGGAGAGGGAAAGTGACCGTCTGGAGTGGGCAAGGACTGGGAAAAGGAGTGTTCGTCCAAGTAAGAAGGGGAGTGAACCTCTTGAGATTCTAATTGATTCTTTTGCTGATTGGCGACTCTCTGACAAAAATGGCTCAGCTTACTTCAGTGCAATGGCGGGCCTTGTTAGATGCAGCCAGTGATGCGGAAAACCCGTATCTACAAGCACTCCTAGGAACAGGAGGCAGAGAATGAGAGGAAGGAGTCATTGTTGCAAAGGCAGGTGGCCATCCTAGAGAATGTTCCCTCACTGACTGAAGAGCAGTGTGGGGAACAGTTGCAGTCTATACTCACCGCCCTTGTTCAAGTCAGGAATCTTGAAGATCATACCACTCAGATCGTTGAAGTCTTCGCAAAGTTGCAAACACTTCAAGATGATCTGGCTGATATGACCCGCAAGTACCACGGATTGGCAAAGGAGGTGGCTGAGCTGCGAGAAGCCCAAGTGGCCAACCCTCTTCCTCTACCCCCTGGATCTGAAGCTCCAATTGAAACTACCTCTGCTTCTCTTACTGTATCTTCTTTCTTGAATGTGATGGCAACCCCCTCGGGACCTGCAACAGGTGTGGATCCCCTTGTTGTTGTGACAAGCAACGAGGCTGGAAATTCTGCAACTGCTGCAGCCCCAAGATTGGAACCAGCAGGTGCTGGTCCCAGCCTTGTCGGTCCCTATGTGGACCGAAAGGCGGTTCAAATGCTGTCTAAGTACGACGGCAAAGAAGACATTGAATCCTGGATCAGCTCCATGAGGGCATACTTCGAGGTGTTGGGGACTCAACCTGAGACCCAGTCCGTGATCATGGGAATGAATGTTGAGCCGGTCGTGTGGGGCTTCTTAGAGGTCCAAGCTACGCGAGCTGGGATTCCCAAAATTGAACTAACAACGTGGCTTAAGACCACCCCGGTTACCTCCCTCGAGGAACTCCTCATTTCACAATACTTGGATCCACATGCTGCAGGAAGGGCAAGAATCCAGCTTGACAAAATCGAGCGCAACAAGTGGACGGGCTCCATGAAAAGCTTGTAGACTTACCTTAGCAAGATGTTCGCTACACCCGGATTGGAATTAACTGCTCAATCTTGCTTGGATGTGGTCAAAGGCGCGGTTCCCACCAACTTTACTAATCGCCTAGGGAGGGACTTCGTTGGTTACACTAACTGGTTCACCTTAATGAAGGACATAGTCAGTCTTGAGGCTGTAGACCTCGTAACCACAGCAGGCAGCAAAAAGCCCATGGGCGGCAGGCGGTTCAAAGGCAGCAACCGTTTTGTTGTGCATGACCTGCTGGAGGTTGAAGAAGAAGCCGATGCAGAGGACCCCACTCTTGGTGACGACCAAGAACAGGACCCTGATACAGCTTGTTCTTCGGCCCATGAGTCTGACGCAAACCACGAAAAAGAAAAATTTACTGCCTTCAAAAAGACTGCCAATACGAAGGGGCCGAATCTGAGTGCAGGAAAGAACTATGTCCAACTTCCCAAGGGAGTCAAGATCCCACCTAAGCTGGAGGATGCGACTACTAAACCTTGGGTCGACCTCCGGATTACTCAAAATGACTGGCGGGGTAGACTCAAGAAGGGGGTATGCCTGCATTGCCAAGAACCAAACCATAAGGTACAAGATTGTTATAGGCTGCAGGGAAACCAGAACCGGGCGTAGAGTCAACTTCAACAAACTCTACAGCAGGGGAGACTGAATCTGATGCAAATCATCAGTCCTCCCTTGAAGCCCAATCATCTACTGAACACAAGGCTGGGGTGAGTAACGTTTTGTATGTCGAGCCTTAGGAGGAGTCTGGGACGGTCAATTTGCACTACCACTTGGAGCAT